ACTCGCTATGCTTCCCCGATAGAAGCAAAGAATAGGGGTAATTCGTTATCTAAATTCCCTCTAGGGAATAATATCATCATTGATGATTCCGCTAGACAAACATTTGGCCAACGTCGTCGTAAGCGACATTCGTACTCTAAAGCCAAGACCAGTGAAGTTGGCACTGGCATTGATCTAAGAGAATCCATAACTTTAAATAGATCTAGCCAATGTCAACATTGTGCGACCATTAAAGAAGTAGTCTCGGCAGTTCAAAAGACTTGCCAATGCAAAGAACCAGTCTACAACCATCTTAGTCATGTTCCTAAGCTTCAAAAGTTCGGATTAAATGACGACGATGTGCTCGAAGAGGCAAAATGCAAGTGTTCACTGTCAACATGACAAGTGTGACTTCCAGAGATGACGAGGAGAGTTCAGATAGCTTACCTGATCCGATATACTCTTTTGGCATTGGATCTATACTACCAAAAGTTGACGGCATATATCATAACAGTAGGCTAAGGAGAAGAGTGGCTATTCCTTTCGACTACACCTCCATCCTAGTGCGGATATCATCATCTTCATCCAAGATAAATCAACCCACTTCTAGTGGAGCTAACTCCGCCATGGAATCGAATCTAACCCCTAGTTCAAGTCAAGAACGACAATGGGTGATAAACATGGCAGACCGAGAAGACATTCTGACTCAAATAGCAACTCAGAAGAAAGATTCGGACGAACGAATCGAATTTCTGGAAGAGATGGTTAAACAACTTCTGCTAGCCTCCCATCCTCAAGCGAGCTCCTCAAAAGGGAAAAGGCCATTCGGTGAAAATCCTCCTGATGAAGACCAAGAACATCAAGATGATGCAAACTCTGAACACGCAATATCAAAAACTATGCTACCTTCAAAGCCAAATAAGGAAGCGAAAGCCTTGGAGGATATTCAAAAACAGCTCAATGTTCTTTCTCAACGAACTAAACTCAAGAAGGTTAGAACCATCCGACCTTATCTCGTCGAGTGGGACATGGTTCCCTACTCGATGAAGTTCAAGCCACCAACACTTCATACATTCGATGGCAAAGATTTCCCGAACCAGCATACCTACTACTTCCACCAGTAAACTAGAAATATAGTGGGTAACGATACTATTAAGACACATCTTTTCATTAGCATCCTTCAAGGTGTAGCCTTTGATTGGTTTTAAAATTTGCCCAAGGGTTCAATCAGATGCTAGGTAGATTTAGAATCAAAGTTCCTCTCATAATTCCATGAGGAACAATCCGATATTACCATGGCCAAACTCCTTTCCGAGAAACAAAGCAGGAATTAGAGGGTTAGAGAATACATCAAAAGGTACCGCAACTTGACATTGCGATGTCGAGATATGCCTCTACCAATGCTGCTTCAAACTTGCTGGCATAATTTTGTGGTGCAAATTGAAGCTCACATGGGCACTGTCGTTGCCCATACTTGGAAGGATTTGATGGAGAAAGCTGAGATAGCTAAGAAGTCATCAGAGTGTTTCAATAAATTCGAACCTCGCACCAACTTCAAGTGCAACAAAGGAAAACAAGGGCAGACATCATAACCGAAAGCCAAAGATTCTTTCACAGTTGGAGTCCAAAATCCTAATAACAACCAACGAAAAGAACCAAGGAAGAACTTCCAACACAATTCCTCGTTCAAGGATTAACATACAGTTGATATCTTCCATATCCTCAATAAAGAAAATCGTTTGAAGCTTCCAGAAGCTCGATGCCCTGAACAATTCAAAAAAACCAATAACCCCAACTACTGTCTCTACCACAGAATGTTGGGACACCCGATGAAGAACTGCTATATCCTTAATTTTAAGATCTAGACATTCGTCGAATCAGGAATTCTTAAGCTCAAACCTTAGCAAAAGAAAGTCATCGCCAACATGGTAACCCTCCAATTTGGCTTCATGCTAGAAATTCAAGCCCAAGATAGCGTCGCCCCTATTCCTACTGCAAGAATGGAGGTGGTTAACTATGACCACCAAAACCAACAAAGCTAAGGCTTGATTCCTCTTATCATGACGAGGGAAGAAATAATATGGGTACATTCTGATCTTCAACAAGTTGAAGATTGGACTCTTCAGAATTCTAAGAACAAGCAAAGGATGAAGACTTGCAACGCTATCATTGCGATCATTGAAGAAGAATCCATGCATGTCAATTCACTCACCGACTCAGAGAGAGAGAGAAAGTGACCATGACAGGGACAAGATCTAGTGAAGATTACCTAAGGGATCACAATTAGCTAGGAACATCTAAACAACCCGAACCAGCCAAACAAAAGGAGACCCGGTTCGATAAAGCCTTACAACATCCTCCAAGTGACCCTAAGGCCCCGTTCAAATATAATATCATGACACAAATAGCCAACATTCCAGCTCATATCACCTTATTCAAACTATTGCGTTTGTCTAAGGATATGAGTGAAGCTTTGAAAGAAGCCGTGAATAACAATGAGGCGTTTCTCACCCACATGATCGGACCTCCTCAAGATGAAGGACCCGAGTGATGCTTTCAATGCCAAAAGCAAATGTCGCACATCACCTTCATATTGGCGGACATGCTGGTCAAAGATCATTATCACAACCGACCTCTTTACTACACTAGGTATATAGGGTCTGCAAGGGTCAAGAGGATTCATATCGATCCAGGCTCCGCGTTGATCATAATTCCAATGAGAGACTATTGAGCTTTTTATGAACCCCCCCCCCCCCTCACAAGCGTCTCAAAAACATCTTCAACCATACTCAACTTTAACTCCAGCAGTAGTCCGTCTCTTGGAAAGATCTGGCTTAAATGTCAGATCAAAAACCTAAAGACAGAAGTGACTTGCTATGTCATCGACGTCGAGACACCTTATAACCTTCTGCTTGGATAACCTTGGAATCATTCTAACAAGCTCATCCCTTCAGCGCTTCATCAGTGTTTTAAATACATTGATGAACAGGGAGTCCAATAGAGAGTTGTTGCTGAAAAGCATCCTTTCAAGGGGGTGGAGAATTATTTCACCGACTATCTTTTGTATGATGAAAGTCAGACAATTGAGATCATCCTCCCAATAATGAAGATAGCGGTAATGAAGCATATGTTGAGCTAGATCCCGTTGATGATTCAGTCTAGGAGATAGATCCAATTATAATTACCCTAGAGGACCTCTGTGTCGACCAATCCGTCGAAGATCAGCACGATTAGATCTTTAATGAAGAAGAGTTTGCTTATGATTACTCTTTAGACTCTGAGTTTGAGAACTCAAGAGTCAAAAATCTGATGGCTAGGATAACCTTAGAATAGACATTGCATATGCTGATAAACGAGTCATACTCCGCTCACAAGCAGCTAGACAACTCGGAGGATGCTACCTTCATGGTTCTGCCCAAAGGGAACACTTTGAACCCAATTATCTTTGAAAACATTGAATCACAATTTCACCTATAGAACTCCGATGAAGAGGCTAAGGTAGCGCTAGAATTCTCCCGTTAAATTCAACAATCTTAGCAGATTATGGCAAAAATGGGTTATAGCCTCACTGCAAAACAAGGATTAAATTTTAATAGAGGACTACGAGTCCCTTTGATCCTCTTTGCACTAGAAGGTGAAGTTTTTAATTATTACAATTGAACCAAATAAGAAGTCGGTTACATATCTCCTAAAGCCGAGCCACAAGTAGGACCACATCTGACAATTTTTAAGCAGTTCTTCAGATACGTCAAACTAAGATTCTGACATCAGTCTTAGATTCCTATGTAATAAATTCACGGCCAACATAGTCTCATATAGCCTAACCATGGATTTCAATGAATTCAAAGTGTTCAAAGATCTGAAAGATATTTATGGTCAAAACAACCTAAAAAGCAATGGGAGTCACGTTCCGAAGTCAAAGAACCACCCACCGAAGATAAGGTTGTTCAAATCAACATAGGCGACGAAATCAACCCTTAGCCCATCTTCATCAGTGGAAGTCTATCATCCGCTGAAAAGAAGGAACTCATAGTTCTTCTTCAAGAATACATTGATGTTTTTGCCTAGAGATATGAAGACATGCTGGGTCTAGACCCAAACGTAAGCCGATCAAGCAATAGCAACGACACTTCTGTCCTGCGCTGATGGAAGAAATCGAGAAAAAAAATCCATAAACTCATTGAATGTGTGTTTATCCGTAAAGTAAAATACCCCGATTGGTTAGCCAACATCGTGGTGATGATGAAAAAGAGCGACAAGATCTGAATCTGTATCGATTTTGCATGATCTCAACCTAGCTTGCCCAAGAGATGAATTTTCTCTCCTTATCATGGATGTTATGGTTGACAACATGTGCAGGTTTGAGAGGATGTCTTTCATGGATAGTTTCTTTGGATACAACCAAATCAAAATGCATCCAGATGATCAAAAGCACACAGCCTTTAGAACACCCATATGAGTATTCTGTTATATAGTAATTCCGTCCAGTCTAAAGAATGCTGGAGCTACTTATAAACGCGCTATGAACATGATCTTTCATGAACATTTGCATAAGGTAGTGGAGTGCTATGTCGATGACCTTGCGATAAAAATTTGTCACAAACAGGATCACGTTGGTGATCTAAGAATGGTGTTCGAGGTTATGCGCAAACACCGACTCAAGATGAATCCAACCAAATCCTTCATGGTGGCATCATCAGGCAAATTCCTTGGGTTTATTGTAACATCCACAGGAGTACACATCAACCCCAAAAAAGTAAAAGCCATCCAAGAGATGCCACCTCCGAGGAATCTCAAAGAGCTCAGAGGTCTACAAGGACGATTAGCCTACATCTGAAGATTTATCGCCAATTTATCTGGAAAATATCAATCATTTCAAAGACTCAATGAAGAAAGGTGCTTTATTCATTTGGGATAACACTTGCTAAGAATCTTTCAATGAGATCAAGAGTTATCTCACAAAGTCACCGATTTTAACTGCACCGATATCGGATAAAGTATTCATGATCTATGTTAGGACAATGGACCATTCCCTTGGAGCATTTTATCGCTCAAAAAATGACAATGGCCCCGAACAAGTCATTTACTACCTCAGCCAGACTATGATTGGTACTGAGCATCGGTACAACCCAGTCGAGAAGGAATGTTTAGCGTTGGTTTTCGCGATTCAGAAGATGCGAAACTACCTCACTGGCCAATCCATTCACGTCATTTTAAGAGTCAATCCTCTACAGATACTCATAATGAAACCTGGGTCACTGAGTTTCAGGTTAGAAAAATGTGTGATATTGCTATCGCAATATGACATGACATTCATACGGTAGAAAGTAGTTAATGGTCAAGCAATAGTCGATTTTCTAGCAGAACACCTTATTCCTGAGTCTTCCAAGCTCTATGAAGACATCCTGGATAAAGTCTTCGAGTCGAATGCTATCTCAGATCATCAAATATGGCAACTCTATTTTGGCGGTGCATCACGACGCAACCACAAGGGAGCAATTGTTGCAGGAGTGGGAGTAGTGTTGATTGACCCCCATGGACATATCCTCCCTTGGGCCAACTCATTGACCGATCCATGTTCCAACAATGTAGCCAAGTTTAATGCTCTTATAATTGGCCTTCAACTTGCTCAAGACATGGGTGTCAAATATCTTGAAGCCCACAGCGATTCTAAACTGGTCGTGAATCAGATGAAAGGAGAATACGAGGTTTACCACAACGACCTCATGCCTTACCAGAAAGCAGCAACAAAGCTTGCCCAATCTTTTGAAGGCTTCTACATTAGCTACGTAGCTCGCCTCGAGAATACCCATGTGGATGATTTAGCATCCCTCGCAGCCACACTCGCCATGACACCTAAATCCTCTAGGCATATCATAGTAGCTAGTCGTTAATTGTGCTCTCCGGAGCGTATTCTTGAAGCCAACGAAGTACATGTCGTGACAATCCACTTCAAGGGTAATGATTTGAGGTTCCCAATTATTGACTTTGTCTTGCATGGGATACTACCTGATAATCCAAAGCAAGCAGCCTCTATTTGAAGAAGAGCTCTATGTTTCTTCTATGATTCTACCACATAGGCTTTGTATTGACGATCTTACAATGGTATTTTGCTCCGATGCTTATCACCAAGTGAAGTTAGAGAAGCGTTAAAGTAAGCCCATGATGGTACATGTGGAGCTCATCAACTAGGTCCCAAACTTCATGATCGACTTCGTCGTCTAGGCTACTGGCCGACAATGATAGCTGATGTGGTAGCATATGCCAAACGATGTTATGTGTGTCAAATCCACGCTGACTTTCTACATCAACCTCCTAAAAAATTACATCTGATAGTCGCCTCTTGCCGTTGGGCATGGCCATCATTAGGTCGATCATCCCACTGTTCGCAACGGTCTGCAATTCATCAGTCAATCATTTTTTAAATTCTACAATAAATACAAAATTCAAGATGTGGTTTTTACACCATACAACCTAGCTAATAATGGTCTAGCTTAAGCTTTCAACAAAACTATCATCAAACTTCTGAAGAAGTTTGTCTCCTCCAACAAACAAGATTGAGACGAGAAACTTGGAGAGTGTTTATGAGCTTATCGAACAATAGTCTGCACTCCCATTGGCTCCACGCCATTCTCATTAGTCTATGGATGTGAAGCCGTGATCCCTCTAGAAATTCAGGTATTGTCATTAAGAATCGCCATTGCTAAAAGAATCATCATTAAGAACTAGAAGCGCTAGATGAGATGAGGCTCCACGCTCAGAAAAGAATCGAGATCTACTATTCAGGCTCCACGCCATTCTCTTTGGTCTACGGATGCGAAGCCATGATCCCTCTAACAATACGCTCATCATTATATGTTTGGCTAACAGGAGCAGTTGTGCATTGGGAATTTGTCGTCGGGATTATCCTGTATAAGTAAGAAGATATTTAATTACTTAACAATTAACTATAAATATTAACAACTAACTATTAGGGTTGACAACTAACTCATAAGGTTGACAACCAACTATTATAGTTTATCAACTCGAAACCTTAACTACTAATAACTAAGGTTAACAACCAATTCATAATGTTGACAACCAACTATTATAGATTATCAACTCGAAACCTTAACAACTGATATCTAAGGTAAGCAACTAACTCATAAGATTAACAATCAACTCATAACCTTCATAACTAATTATTAAAAGGTTAACAATCAACATATGCTTAATAATCAACTCATAAGGTTAACAACCAACTCATAAAATCAACAACCAACTCATAAAGTTAACAACCAAATTTTAACCTTTACAACTAATAGATAGAGGTAAGGACTAATTGTTATGGTTAACAACCAACTCACAATGCCAACAACTAACTCAAACTATGTGAGGGTTATTTTTTCCTCTCCAAGTTTACAAAACTCACATGTGAGAACAATGTGAGTTGGAGGGGCTAAATGAATAAATTGTGGGGTTTAGGAAAATAATAGGGTGTTGAAAAAGTCTTTGGGGGAGGGGGAGGGGCAATTCTGGTCCCCATTTTTGGGGCTGGAAGTACTTTTTCCTTTTATCAACTTAGACATGTTATTTTTGTTTAACTTAGTTATTTGTTAACTGTGACTTAGTTATTTGTTAACTGTGACACATTATTTTGCTAATTTTAGTTGTTGTGTATAGAGGAGGTGAAGAAAATGAGAGGGATGGAGGAGGAAGGAGTATGAGGAATGGAGGATGAGAAGAATGGAGGATGAGGAGAGAAGAGGAACAAAAATGGGAGGAGTGAGAAGAATGGAGGAGGTAGAACGGAGACTTTTATATTAATCTTAAATCATATATCTTAACTTTAAAACTTAAATGTTAATTCTATAGGTTACTGAGTTTGGATAGAGTTGTTAGGACTGGAGGGGGAGAGAGGGGTAGGTTGTAATGTAAACCCTCCTAAAATTGTGTTTATTTATACTTTTTAGTTAGCAAGAGGATGGCTAAAAGTTAGAAAATTCATCCACTTCCTTAACTCTCCTAAAGTGGATAGAATGGGAGGGGAGGAGAGGAATTGCAAATGATTTTCTTAAAATTTCAAGATTGCCCTATGAGAAAATTAAAACTCTTAATTAATAAATTGTTTATTATTTCTTTAGAAGAGCATATTAGACAAGTAGCTTCCCTCCCTTTCCATCCTCTACTCTAAACAAACATATATTGAAGTGTACCTTACGCCCCCTTGATATCTGTCCAAGCACAATTAAGTACATTCCACCCTCTTTACTTTTCACTCCCTCCTATTAGGTTTACCTCAATTCTTCCCCTCCCTACCTTTGCACCAAAACTTAGCAGCTTCGATATGCCATTGATGTAGGCAAACTAGGTAAGGAAGAAGATAGTGGTGGGAGAAGGGTAAAGAGAGTAGAAGGGGAAGAGATGAAATGTGTTCATGAAGTAGTGAATGAGGGAGGAGGAGATTGAAGATGGGGCGAGGTGGGGGAGAAAGGAGGGAGGAGGAGAAGAGAGAGGACGAAGAAAAGAAGTAGAAGATGAACACGATGTTGAAAATGAGGACACTTTGGGAATATAAGTTTCCTTAAAGGGGGAGAGGTTTGGAAGAAAATAAATATGTTGAGGGTTTTTTAACACGCATGACCCTTTTCAAGGGGGCTAGAAGAACAAAAAGTTTGTTAGAAAGAGCTGGACGCAAAGTTCAGTTCTTTTTCTTACTCTTACAAAATTACATATTTTACACGGTTATTACAAATCTCATGAGCAACAAATTCAGCATAATTGCACAGAATCCTGATCATACATCATGATGTTATGATTATATTCATGATCCAACTTTGCCACTAGAAAAAAAGAATAATTGGTTTTTGCCCAAGAACAACATACAATAACCCAGTCCTCCCAATTTATGCCGCTTCACAAATTTCCATGAAAGCAAGAGATCAACAAAGAAAAACTCTACCAAGGAGCTATTATTCTTTTGGCATTTTTGCAGCTTGCATTTGACAACAAAATTGGAGCAATTTGTAGTTTATATTTTCATCAAAAATTGGGGTGTCGCTCATTCCGCTATCAACCTTACCTGAGAACAAACATATATTGTATACAATATAACTTCATTTTTGTAGACTACAGTATGGAAACTATTGTCTCTGAAATCAGAATTCATGATATCAATTCTTGCATGTTATCAATCAGAGGAATATAGCATCCCATGACTAAAGCTTTTATATTTATGTTTCCTAGTGCTATGATATCCATATCTAATGAACCATGAAAAGTGACTATGCTTAGGAGTTGAGGAGCATTGAGGGTACAGATTTAGGGGTTTTTTGTCTCGTGGATTGTATATTGATTTATGCATTGATCTAGATAAACTCATACTCAAATGGTGTGTTTGGATCGGGGTTAGAGAAGGATAGGGGGAAGTTAAATTTTACAAAATCTTTGTTTGGGAGTTTTTTTGAAGGGGTTAAAGGATGGAAGGGAATATAAATTTTAGAAAGTGA